CTTTCTCAATATTTCTATCACTATTTCTCTCTATCTCTCAATCGCTATCTCTATTTATCTCTTTCTCTCTTTCTCCCTTTCCCTATTTCTCTCTTTCTCCCTTTCCCTCTTTCTCTCTTTCTCTTTTTCTCTTTTTCTCTTTCTCTCTTTCTCTTTTTCTCTCTCTCTCACTGGCTGCAATCAGCCTCATTGCCCTCCAGTTCTGCAACCCCGCTGTCGGGAAGGTCCTAGTACCCAATATTCTCCACTTTCAAATTGAATTCCGCAACTCTCACTTTCGAATCCCAATTGAAAACATAATCCCTGATCCTCCATACAATCAATACTTCTCTATTCTTCATGACTCATTTATTTATTTCTCTCTCTCTCTCTCTCTCTCTCTCTCTCTCTCTCTCTCTCTCTCCTTGGGTTTCCATTTCCTCATTCTCGCCTCTCTGAAATTTATTATTATTATTATTATTATTATTATTATTATTATTATTATTATTATATTATTATTATTATTAATTATATTTATTGTCCTACCTGAAAGTTTCTTCCTTCTTTTACTCTAATGTTCGTAATTTCTTACACCATTTTTCCTTAAGATTTCTCGTGTCCTCCATTGTCATTTTCTCCCTGGTTTCTCATTATTCTTCACTACTAAAACTCTGAGACCATTTACACTTCAGTTTTTATTTTCCTTTCTACTCTTTGTTTCTGTAATCTCTTCTGGAAAATCTCCAAGTAATATTGTTTCCAGTGTTCTCTGTTTGAATTAAATGGTTCACTTTCATTATTTCAATTCCTAAGTCACCAGTCTTCTAACGTTATAACCTATCCTTGGTCTCATTTTTTTGATTATCCGATTACTCTTTTCCATTTTATTCAGATTGTTTGCATTTTAATTTATTAATTTCATTTATTTTGATTTATAATTTATTTTTTATTTTCTTAATTTAATGCATTTGTTTGTTAATTGTCGTCATACGCTGAGTTCGGTTTGTTTGGTTGGTGTCTGACCTCTGTTTCCGCCCCAAGGGAGGGCGACTTCCCGCTGCTTCCCTGGATTGCGCGCCATTGAGCCCCCGAGCGCCCCCGAGCGCCCCCGAGCGCTGCCGAACGCTTCCGAGCGCCATCGCGTGGCGGCGTTGTGGTTGCAGCCTGGGCGAAGAGCGTCTGCAGCTGCTGGTTCGCTCTGGCGGAGGCGGCAGTGGCGGCGGCGCGGGCGAAGCTCCGAGGGCGGACGCCCACGGCAACGCCCTCTTCTGACGCCCCGACGCCCACGCCCGCGACCCGGAGGCAGCGGCCGCGCGGCCGGCGGGCGGCGGCGCGCGCGACTGAGGGGAACACCCGCGACGAGCTCAAGTTGTCCGAACCACCCGGCAGAGGCCGCGCCCGGCGGGGCGACGCCTGCTGGCAGAACTTGCGCCTCAACGATCCAGCGCTGGCTCTCGTCGAGGTGCACCGCAACCCCCTCCGCTACAACGTGAAAGTGCGAGTGCGCACTATCGTCACGAAACTAATGTGATGCATAAATAAGATTGCTGAAAGTCTACACGTGCATTCTGAAAGAAGAAATGCCTAGCCACTGTGCGTTTTGAAGTCGGTCGACTCAACAATTGCGTACGATGTTCTTCAAATGGTTGGTGAAAATTCCGTGTTGAGCACTGAAAAGCGAACGAGAATCATAGTCGACTGCTGATCGGCAAAGCATACATTGCGAATGCCCCGAAAATATTGCATTCTGGGTCTCGACATCAACCAGTGTGTACTGAACTTCAAGATTCGTGTGCATAATATTTCCCATTTTAGTTTCATCCGATGGGTGAATGTATGGACAACGTATGTTTAGAAGCATACTTCCATTTGCATCAGAGAAACGTGAAGCAAATTCGCAGGGTGACTAAATGATTCTCAGATTGACGCCATATCATGAATTTAAAGGCTTGAAAGGCTTTCAGTTCCGAAGCCAAGAAGCGACAACTTCTGATTCCTTTCTTTTCACTTCCAAGTGTTGTTCATCCAATGAACTAAAAGTGAATTAACCGAAGTGTTTTGCTCTCTTGGTCGGAGGCGTTTAGCATCCAGCTACGCAACAGAGTTTCGTTTGTGCATTCTTTAGTTCTCGATGAAAGACTCTGCACACGTGTGGACTAAAATCACGTTCTAGTGAAAAACACTTATTAAATGAATCGGTACAGACTAAATTCAAATTAATCTACACTTGTACATAACATCTTAACAAAATGCTGTGCGAGTTCTTACGAACATTTTCTCGCCAGATTGATGTGAAGGTGAAATGAACAGATCAATAAGTTACAACGACACAAGTGTCGCCAAGTAAGTGTCGTGGACTGTCGTAAAGGCAGAGTAATGAATAATGTTATGGCAGCACAGATGTAAAAACGAGTAGAATGAATCATCTCAATGAATAAAAGTCTGAAATTTTCATTCATTTCATTCTCGGGTTCTTAAAATTAAACTCGAATGTTCATATTAAAAAATACGAGAAAAAGTTGAACTCTTTACATCCAATATTCCAGTCAGAACGAACTAACTAGTTATGATCATATAATTGTGGGAGATGACTCACTTGTTTTTACATCACTATCTGCCAAAACCAATCATTTGTGCAATCATTGGGAATTCTGTTTTGTATTTAACTTCCTATTCATATTATAGTATATACATCTCTGCTTTTATCAGAATACGAAATGCGCGTGAGTGTAGCATGTACAGAATGTACAGAACAACGAAGTGAATTAACTCTCGTTCTAGAGTCAAACGAACAAAAGAGCAACAACATTTGAACTATGCGCACAGAGTCTGAAATGTGAACGGTAGTCTAATTTCACGTGTATAAATTGTACATCATTATCGTATTTCTCCTTGCTCTTGATTTTTTTCGCGATTGCAAAATACTGCATTAACATTATGAGAAATGATAGATGTTATGTAGCGCATGTTATTGAGGTAATCTCCACACATCGAATATCACTCGCCTGAGAAGAAGAATCGCATTCTTCATGATTTTGCTCATCCCCTTACACCTCATTTTTTCTGACAATAAGCCGAGGACGAAACGATCACCAAATAGCAGAAGATCTGGACCACCCTTGGACGCGAACACACAAGATGTTTATTATTTGCTGCAAAAAGAGTTCCTAAGTGTCAACGAAACGAAAACATCGCAGTTCACACCAAGAGTACTTTGGCCACTACCCGTCAAATCAAAGCTCTAACGACAACAGACAATATGCATGCCAACAATGTGGAATATATAAATGTGGAATTGGATAAGGTGGCAGATCATTGTACTTACAAGCGCTATTGCGTAGCAAGTAGAAAACTTTGAAATACAAGTACCAGTTTAAATGGACCTATTAAGTACTTGCACTTAATTGCGTAATTTTGTTATTTGTTACACATTTTAAAAATTTCCTGTTTTGTTTGACTATTATACTTATAATAACAAAAGTAAAGCTTTTGATAGCTGATTTGTTAATCAGCATTTGTTACCTCACAAATATGTGATCTAGTCTATGAGCAAGGTGCATG